AAAGCACTCCCCACATTCCCCGCCATCTCTGCTCTGAGTACTGAAGATCCCACACATGGCTAGAAAGAGGTTTTGAGTCCAGTTTGTTGGTTCTCAGTGTCCCTCCTTCCCCATGCATGCTCTGCTTGTCTTGTGCCATTGCAGACGTCTCCCTGGATGCTGATACAACTCGCAGCGGGGTGGTGCAGAGGGGAACAACAGATAAGGTGAGTGTGATCCATCTTTACACCCATGGAAAGATAGAGACCAGGAGGCTGAAATTCTGAGCTGATGGTCCTGGAACTCCCCAGCTGAGAGTGGAGTGTAAAGGAGACATACTGTCAATCACGTTTTCTCTAATCCTGTGGCCTGCAGCTCCTGTTGGTGGCCTGCAGAAGCATTAAAGGAGCTACCACATTACTTAAGGGCTTGTCTACATGGGGATGCTCAGGAACACTAATCTGAATTAACTAAAGGTGTGAATTTTAAGTGAATTAGTTAAACTGCATTAAATCCCTGTGTGAACATGCTCTCATTTAGAATAATAGTGGCCTTCATTCAATTTAATAATTCACTTTGGAAGCTAAACTAGACTGGAGTAGGGCTACTTTAATTCTGGCTAAAACCACAAAGGAGTTTAATGCTAATCCACTTAAAAATCACATCTTTCGTTAATGTGGATTATCTTTTCTGAGTGTCCCTGCGTAGACAACCCTTAGTGACTTTTTTTTTAAAATGTCAATTTGTCAAAACAGAAACTTTTCCCAGGAAAGGGTCAAGTTTTGACAATGTTTTGACTTTGAAAGAAAAAAGTGAGATATTTTGAAATTGTTAGCGCTTAGTTTTGACATTTTCAAGGTGAAAAATGTTAGCTCTCTGAGTTTTATGCAGAAATTGTAAGCTACTTACAGAAAAAGTAGTAAACAAAATGTTTCAATGACTGAAATGTTTTGATTGACATACATTTGTTGATATTTCTGAAATGTCCATCAGCTGGGAAAGTTTGCCACCCAGTTGTATCAGCAGATCCTGGCTCAGTCATGTGCTCATAGCAAAGTGTTTGCCTTTAAAACATGCCAGTGTAGATGTAGCCTGGATGTGTTTCAGTGGCTGGAACATGGAAGCTCATACGTTTCTGAGCTGGATAACACGAAGAGCTGGGAAACCCTTTCCATAGGGGCTTGTGCAACAGGAAACAGCTATTTCTCTTGCCTGTCCTTTCAGCTTGTGTTACTGTAGTAGTGAAAAGAACTGGGTTCCAGCTCTCTGGTCTTGCTCCTCATTTCCATACCAAGCCTGTCTTCGTTTTACTTCTGCAGAAAGAGTGGATATGGGGCCCAGATGGGCAAGGAGCTATTCTACTGGTTAACTGTGATAGGGATGACCCAAAGTCCTCCGAGATGGACAACATGGATTTCTGTGTGCGATCTTATGCAGGTACTGGCTGGGAATGGAAGGATCACTGCTTTGGGGCTAGGTGTTAACCCGATGATGCGGAATGTGTGAAATTCCAGCCAGGTCAGGCCAGACTGCCAAATGCTAGATGAGTTCTAAGAAGCTACTACACCTATATAAAAGATGCCAACACTGGACACTAGCCCAAGAAGCTGAGGTCTTGGCCTCTTACACGTGGTTTGGTGGGTGGAGTTCTGTTTTGTTTTGTTTTGTTTTGTGTGTGTTTTTTCCTGACACGAAGTTAGGTTCCAGAGACTTGATGATCCATATCTGTAATAAACAATGAGAAGTCTTATAGACTATTATTGGAGCATAAGCTTTCGTGGGCAAAGACCCACTTTGTCAGATGCATGTAGTGGAAATTCCAGGGGCAGGTATAAATATACAGGCACATGAACAGAAAGGAGTACCAATCAAGAGGAAGGCCAGAGATAACGAGATCAATTCAGTCAGGGAGGATGAGGTCCACTTCTAGCAGCTGATCTGGAGGTGTGAACACCAAGGGTACGTCTAAACTACATGCCTCCGTCGACGGAGGCATGTAGATTAGCCAGATCGGCAGAGGGAAATGAAGCCGCGATTAAAATAATCGCGGCTTCATTTAAATTTAAATGGCTGCCCCGCTCTGCCGATCAGCTGTTTGTCGGCAGATCGGGGCAGTCTGGACGCGCCGCGCCGACAAAGAAGCCTTTCTTGATCGGCACAGGTAAACCTGGTTTCACGAGGCATACCTGTGCCGATCAAGAAAGGCTTCTTTGTCGGCGCGGCGCGTCCAGACTGCCCCGATCTGCCGACAAACAGCTGATCGGCAGAGCGGGGCAGCCATTTAAATTTAAATGAAGCCGCGATTATTTTAATCGCGGCTTCATTTCCCTCTGCCGATCTGGCTAATCTACATGCCTCCATCGACGGAGGCATGTAGTCTAGACACACCCCAAGAGAGGAGAAACTGCCTTTGTAGTTGGCTAGCCATTTGCAGTCTTTGTTTAATCCTAAATTGATAGTGTCAAATTTGCAAATGAATTGTAGCTCTGTAAGTCCCATTCTTTTCTCTCTTGGTCTCCTCTTGTACTCAGACCTTCGGGACATGTCATGTATGATCTTGAGAACGCAAGGCCCTGATGCAATCTTTGATGACCACAAGCTGGTTCTTCATGTTTCCGTGTCCGATGCAGACAAAGTGGGAGTTTTCCACGCGCGGGGTGAGTATCTGGCCTTCTGGCTACTGCGGGCTTGGAATTCCAGCTCTGCCACTGGAACAGAGTGGCAGTAAAAATTGGCTGGAAAACTGGCTCCATCCAAGGTCCTGCTCCCACAGGAGCTAATGGGAGCTTTGGTCTTGACTTCAAGGGGAGCAGGATCAGGCTGTAAATCTGCCCTCCGATTAGCTGTTCTCTCGCTGTGGCACCCTGGGGGCTCCCCGCAGGCCGGTCATTCTCTGCATCCACCTGCTTCCACACTCTTGCCCAGTCTCACAAAAGCGTCCACACGCAGCATGTGGCTGGCCCGCCTCTCCAGCCCAGGGAGAACCAAGGACTGGTTCCAAAGTTGGCCCGCCCCTTCCTGCAGGGCACGGTTTTATTCTTTGGGCACAAGCTCTGCTGCCATATCAAACAAAGCTGTTCCCCCAGCGAAAGCCGGCTTCAGAGTCCTTTCCCCTTGTGTCTCTTCCTCCCCGTCCAGGGCCTGCTAATTGCTGGGGAAGGACGGAGGTGCTATGTTCCACTTGGGGACCAACAGCTCCTCCTTCTCTCCCAGTCTGGGAAGCCGGGCCGTCCTTAGGCATTCACCTGTATGTAGTTGTGTAGGGTACCAATAAATTTGGGGCACCAGAGTTGCCCTATGGTGCATATGCCTAGAGCCACTACTGACTGTGGGCAGCAGCAGCTCAGTCCTCCCTCTGCTTTGCCTCTTGGACCTGTCCAACACAGTCCCCTAACCTCTGAGTGCCCTGCCCCAATCCTCCACCCCCTCCTCTACCTGACAGTGACAGTTCAGGCAGGCTGCTCTGCCTCCCGCCAGCTGCACCACTCAACTTGGGGACCAACAGCTCCTCCTTCTCTCCCAGTCTGGGAAGCCGGGCCGTCCTTAGGCATACACCTGTATGTAGTTGTGTAGGGTACCAATAAATTTGGGGCACCAGAGTTGCCCTATGGTGCATATGCCTAGAGCCACTACTGACTGTGGGCAGCAGCAGCTCAGTCCTCCCTCTGCTTTGCCTCTTGGACCTGTCCAACACAGTCCCCTAACCTCTGAGTGCCCTGCCCCAATCCTCCACCCCCTCCTCTACCTGACAGTGACAGTTCAGGCAGGCTGCTCTGCCTCCCGCCAGCTGCACCACTCGGTCTGCCTGCTCCCCCATCCGCTTCCCTACCCTCCTCCTGCCCCCCCATCTCCTGCCTGCACAGCCCTGCCCCATGGAGTGCCCTCCCCCATAGAAGATGGAATCTGTAGGTACTTGGGGGGCGTAGGGCACCAAACATGTTAAGGACGGCCCTCATGGGACGAGAAAATCCAGAGAGTCCCCTGCGTGGGTCAGTGAGGAGCAAACGTCAGACACACAGGGGAATTCAGTCTTCGTGATCCATCTGTACGTGGATGAGAGGAACGGCTGGCTGGCAGGATCAGAGTGGAAGCAATTTCTTTGATGGCTTTCAAAGGCAGAGTGAGAATTCCGCCCCTTTCTAAGTGACTGTGGGCTGCAGGTAATTGCAGCTTCTGGGATTGCAAGTTAGAGGTAACTGTAACCTGACTACCCTGCGTCAGACTTAAAAGCTGCTGCAAGGACTGGGGACACTCGGAGATGGAGACTTTGATCTGTGTATGAGGCTGACGAGTGTGGAGCATGGAGACTTTGATCTGTGTATGAGGCTGACAAGTGTGGTGCTTTACGCACAGGCTTGACAAACTGATTTTTTTAGAATTTCAAACAATAATGATTTAAATTTTCAGGTGCTGAGAATTCGTGTGTGTGTGTATGTGTGTGACAATTGCTCAGTGACCATAGATGCTGTGAGTCAAAGAATTAAAGCATCATAAATTGTTAAATTCATGTGTGTGTGACAATTGCTCAGTGACCATAGATGTTGTGAGTCAAAGAATTAAAGCGTCATAAATTGTTAAACTCAAATTTGTCAGCCTAAGTCACACACTACAAAGTAAATCAACGCTTCCAGCCTGTTTTTACTATCCGGTTGCTAATTCATTTGTAACAAGCCTAATTTAAAAGTCTAAATCACTGGAATTGGACCAAATATCTAGAGCCCTGGGCAGATCCAAAATTTGTATCTGCATGCCCGTCCGTAGCCATGGAAATGAGGGGCGGATATCTGCGTCCACACCCATGGATGTGGATATCCGCTCTATATATCCACAGGTATCCAAGGATTTGCCGGCCTTTACAAATATGGTGTTTAGGCAAAGTGAGAGACATGCTGCTTATTTGTAAATTTCAGTTATTGTCGGTGAACATAATTTAGTTGGTGGCTTGCACGTCTGTGGTGAAATCGACATTTACCAAAGAAGTGTCGACGTGCGGCACCAAATGTAGGTTTTACTCATTAAAAGCCAGAGCGGAACCATAGGAGCCTCTGCCAGGACTTGCCTGTGTAGGGCCCCTTTGTGGCCCAACTCATCCTGCCAGGAATCGCTAAGTGTTGGTCACTGTCCGAGCAGGGATGTGTTAGCCTGCTGGCTCGGGTCCCATCCCTGCCAGGTATAGAAGTCCCCAAAGGGAGAGTAGCAAGAACTTGGAACAGGGCTGGCTGATGAGTTTCTAGGGTCTGCGTTCCCATCCATTGGGCTTGGCCCAGGCTCTCGGCTCTAACCAGGGTTCCCACACCAAGGGGTTAGCAGTGCTCTGCTCTTCTTCCTGGTCAGGCCCAAATAGCCTTCTCCTTTCCACTCCCCTGTCCACACATGGCAGAACTGAACAAGGGACAACTGGGTCTAGAGGCCTCAGTGCCCCCTCCCCCGTCACTGCTCCCAAAGCCAGGTTTTGGTTCTGAAAAAGTCTGCCTGGTTTTCAAATCTGCTGAGCCACCCACTGATTTCCCTGGAAGCTGCTGGGTCTTCAACCCTTTTGACAATCCGAGCACTTCTATGGGAGGCCAAAGTCCCTGCTGGGACTCTTGCGCATTTCAAAGCAGAAGCACCTGCATGGAGCCCAGAGTCCGTAGGACTTCCCGCTGCACTCAAAGTTCCGACTTTGAAATGCACAAGAGCCCCCACTGGGGCTCTTGTACATTTCAAAGGAGGAATGCAGAAGTGCCTATCGAGTAGTTGATGGAAATTCCATTGACTAGTTGACTAGTAAATTAATTTATATTTAACCTCCTTAGTTTGCACCAGTGCAGCTACGCTATTGGGGCTCATTGTCCATGTAGACAAGGTCTCTGCAGCATAGAATCATAGAAACTAGAACCAGAAGGGACCTCGAGAGGTCATTGAGTCCAGTCCCCTGCCCTCAGCAGGACCAAGCATCGTCTGACCATCCCTGATAGATGTCTGTCCAACCTGCTCCAGAGATGGAGATTCCACAACCTCCCTGGGCAATTTATTCCAGTGTTTAACCACCCTGACAGGTAGCAAGTTTTTCCTAATGTCCAACCTCAACCTCCCTTGGTGCAGTTTAAGCTTGTCCTACCCCCAGAGGCCAAGGCAAACAATTTTCCTCCCTTTGACACCCTTTTAGATACTTGAAAACCTCTGTCATGTCCCCTCTTGGTCTTCTCCTTTCCAAACTAAACAAGCCCAATTCTTTCAGTCTTCCCTCATCGCTCATGTTCTCTAGACCTTTCATCATTCTTGTTGCTCTTCTCCTGGACCCTCTCTGATTTCTCCACATCTTTCTTGAAGGCAAGAGCCCATCATCCGACGTGTGTCCTGTCACATCTAGAAGCTTGATTCCCAGGAGCTGGGAATAGTGCAGCTATCTCTGTCCATTGGGCACAGCGTGGTTCCCCTGACATGTCCCTATGCTCCTCTGTGTCCCCAGGCGATGACGTTCTCCAGCAGTATGAGCACGTGCTGGGGTCACACGAGCTCTCCTACGTAGTGGAGCATGCCAGCGGACGAGAGGAGGATACCTTCTACGTGGAGGGGCTGGCCTTCCCGGACGCTGACTTCTCGGGGCTGGTATCCTTCCACGTCACCCTGCTGGACACGCCCACTGAGGTACAATAAGAGCAGTTGGGCCCGGTAAACGAGAGAGACTTGCTCTTTCCTGATGAGCCGCTTGGTCAGTAGCTGCTGGCCCGGAGCGCTCTGTGCCAACCTTCTCGTTGCTCCTGAATCACGCTGGCAAAGAGCGTGTGTCCTGTCCACTGCCCGTAGCTGGCCCCTACGTGCCACCAGCTAGTGGAGCTGCTTCCCTCGCTGAAACAGCAGCAGGCTTTGGTGTCGAGGGTCATTGGTGTGACCCATAACACTGGTGGCACAGTCCGGGCGGGATGAGAACCAAGGGTTTGGATGCTAAATGCTTAACAGGAGGAAACTGCTTCAGAATAGCAACGGAATTGAGGTCTCCGGCCTTGCGAGCCAGGCCTGACCCTCCCCTTCCTTCTGGCAAAGGCCGCATGAGGGGCCTGCACGAGGGTGGGCAAGGAACCGAATGCAGGGGAGCAGCCAAGGGAAGGAGAAAAGGACCCTTCCCTGTGAGGGGGACCTAGCAGGGAAGGGCAAAGGCCAAATGCGAGCCGGGATCCAGAGAGAGCTCCGGAGATGGACGAGGCTCCACTTTTTCCTCCCCTGTAGAGTCTTCCTGAGACCCCGATTTTCACAGACACGGTGGTTTTCCGGGTGGCTCCCTGGATAATGACTCCCAACACTCAGCGGCCTCTGGAGGTGTTTGTCTGCAGGTGAGAGCAGGGTGGGTCAGTTGGCATGGGAGAACAGCCTGAGCTCTCCTTTTCCAACCAGGGGCTTGATCCTACAAGGGGCTGAGACCTCTGCCCCGGGTCCAGAGCAGCCCTTCAGCACAGGCGCAGCATTTAACCCATGCGGAGTCCCCCAACCGTGATGGGCGTTGGCCCAACTGCCTCGTTGGGATATAAGAGCAGGAGAGGTAGGAAGAGGCAGCCCTTGCCCTGCTGATCAGAGTGGGTCTCTGCAGGCGCCGCACTCAGAGATGTGGAAATCTTACCAGACCAAACACTGACCCTGGAACAGCTTGATCATAGCCTGGACCACTTCCCCCCCAACCTGCCCTTGTGCCGTGGCTGGGCAAGAACACTCGGGCCAAAAGCCCCAGTGAGACGGATGGGTGACAAATTCCCTCTTGATACCCAGGAAGCGGGGGTCTGCCCTTCTCAGGAACCAAGCCAGTTAGCACCTCGTTCATGTCGTTCATCCCTTACAGTCCTGTGGGATAAATACATAATCCATTGTGATTTGACCTAGGTCTGTGGGGGTCTCCCTCGTGATGGGGGATGTTGGCAGGGCGAGGGGAAGGGCTCATCTGTCTCCTAGTTCAGGCCTCCCTCTCCTCTCCTGTTTCCTACCCAGTTTGAGTGACAATGCTGACGTCGTGGAAGCCATGAGCGAACTCGCACAGAAAGCCCACTGCAAGTTGACCATCTGCCCGGAGGTGGAGAACCGTGGGGACCGCTGGATCCAGGTCATATTCAAGTTGACCATCTGCCCGGAGGTGGAGAACCGCGGGGACCGCTGGATCCAGGTCCTACCGCCCAGGGCGGGATAGCCACATGCACGGGGTCTGTCCCTCCGCTGCCTTGCGGAGTCATGGACAGGCACACGGTGCGGCTGGGTGGCGTTTGGTGGCCCTGGTAGGCGGATGTCAGTCACTCTGTGAGGAAGCAGGCTATGGTCACCTCCCTCACCCCGCCCCCCCAGCTGAAAGCAGGGAGGTTGGAAGCTAGAGGAGTGGCGCTAGTCTAGGATGTAGTTCTAAGAGCAAGCTGGAGACAGGCAGGTGCGTGAACAAGCCTGGTCTTTAAACTGCAGCAAAATTAGCTGGTGAGCAATGGCACAATGAGGTGAGCTGATCCCCCTCCCCCCCCACTAGGCCTGATCCCACAGCCATGGGTTAGAGTCCCATGTTGGTTGCCTGTCTGTCTGCCATTCTCTCTGTCCTCTCTAACAGGATGAGATGGAGCTCGGCTATGTACAGGCTCCCCATAAAACCTTTCCCGTGGTCTTCGACTCGCCCAGGGATAGAGAGCTGCAGGACTTCCCTTTTAAGAGCATCTTGGTACGTGGCACTACCTTGTGATGCCTGCACTGAGTTCAATACGCTTGAGTTGAAACATTTTGGGACAGAAAACACAGTTTGAGGCTATTGATAACAATGCACGGAGAGCCACGAGATGTCAGTTTAAACATGGAATGCAGGGCTTTTTCAGGACAAACCCTTTGGGGTTTTCATTTTGGAAAGAACTTGAGTCTAAATTTACTGTTTGTATGGAATTGGTGTATGAAGTTCAAACTCAGAATTGGAAGGAAATGTTGGGATTTGATTAACGGTTTGATCAGCCCCAAACAAACTTTTTTTTGTTTAGCAGAGCCTATTGAAGGGTGTGTCTAGACTACTGAGTTTTGTCGACAAAACTATATACCAGCGTCTACACTACCGCTGAGTTCTGTCGACATAACGTCGACAGAACTCAGCAGTTTTGTCGACGCTGGTAAACCTCATTTTACGAGGCATAACACCTTCTGTCGACAGAGTTCTGTCGACAGAAGGTGTTATTGCCTGTAGGGTTGCGTCTAGACTACAGGGTTTTGTCGACAAAGCAGCTTGCTTTGTCAACAGAACTGAATGTGTCTAGACGCTCTATGTCGACAGAAGTTTTGTCGACAGATACTGTCGACAAAACTTCTGTTGACAAAAGCCTGTAGTCTAGACGTACCCGAAATGTTTCTTTTTGGGTAAAATCGAAAAGCTGGTTTTCCTCCCAGCTCCATGCCTCAAACGCCAGCTGCTCTGGGGGCTGTAGAGCCAACTCAAATTCTCTTCTTCACAGCCAGCCCTGTTCACTTGTATGCAAACCCTGGGTAGGGTTTCCCACCTACAGGTCTCAAGCAGTTTGCAAAGGTGAGGGGAGCCCGCATGTTACTTCCCCTGTCAGTATGTGACTCACCCAAGTCTGACCAGGAGTTGGGGGCAATGCTGGGAACAGAATCCCGTAGTTCTGACTTGCCGTGCTGCTGGACCATGGGGTCTCTTTAGTTGCCCAGACTCACCCAAGTCTGACCAGGAGTTGGAGGCAATGCTGGGAACAGAATACCGTAGTTCTGACTTGCCGTGCTGTTGGACCATGGGGTCTCTTTAGTTGCCCGTTCCAGACGGAGCTTTTAGCACCAACCCCATTCACTGCTTTCCTCTTCACTGTCCTCTTCTTCCCTGCAAGGGCCCCGATTTTGGCTACGTGACCCAAGAACCTTTTAACGAAATCGTCTCCAGCCTCGACTCTTTTGGGAACCTGGAAGTCAGCCCCCCGGTGACCGTCCGTGGGAAGGCGTATCCCCTGGGGAGGATCCTCATTGGAAGCAGCTTTCCCAGGTGGGCATGCCCCTAGTTCCAACAGAGCAAGGACTCCTCCCGGCTGAGCGCAGGAGGCACAGATGTAACTGCAGGGGGTACAGTGTCCCAGGTAGAATCTCCATGCCGGGGAGCAGCATATGAAGGGCCGCCCGGTGAGCGGGACAGCAGTAGTTCTGGATACAGACGCAGCAAGAATTACAACCTACCCCCGTCCCGCAACAAGACTGACATTTAACTACTGAATTGGGCAGTCACCTGCTGACAGTTGGCAGCAGTAATTAGCAAATTCCTCCGTGCCTTCTGCTGCAGTCCTGCACGTAATCCAGGGGTGGAAAACCAGGGAGGCTGCTGACGTGGCCCCCAACTGAGAAGCAGAAAGGCACTCCCCACATTCCCCTTGCACACCAGTGCTTGGGGGGCTCAGGGTAGTAGATTTTGTGTGCTCCAGCCCCATGGGAGAATCCCTGAGCATCAGGGGCTGCATCCAGGCAAGCCAGGGGCTGCATCTGGCCCCGGGCCTTAGGTTCTCTACCCCTGCCTTAATTCATCCTAGAACTGTCTTGCATTGATAGAACACTTACTAATTACGATGAGATTTTATTATTTGCATTGTGGTATCATGCAGGTGCCCCAGTTTTGGGTCAGGATCCCAGTGTGCTTGGGGCCGTACAAACAGAGACCAAAAAGCTGGCCTTTGCCCCCCAAAAGCTTACAGAAATACCCCATGATATGGAGTACCAACAAAGCCCTGCAACACTGGGACTTACAAGTATTTTAACCCTCACTTTAATGCATCTCTTCTTCAGTGCCTAAGACCCTGCAACCAGTGTCCTATTAAGCTGCCCCAAAGTGTCTGATGGGCTAATTGCTGTGTGCTCCAGCAATACTTGGCTACGTCTAGACTGGCACGATTTTGCGCAAAATCTTGCCGCCTGTTTACACTGTATTTGTGAGTATTTGTACAAGAATACTGACTTTATACTGTACAAAAGCAGTGGTTCTTGCGCAAATACTCTGATGCTCCCGCTCAAGGATAAGTCCTCTTGTGCAAGTATTCTTGCGCAAGAGGGCCAGTGTAGACAGACAAGTTAATTACTTGCACTAGAAAGCCCGATGGCTAAAATGGCCATCAGAACTTTCTTGTGCAAGACAGTGTCTACACTAGCACAAATGCTTTTGTGCAAAAGCACTTTTAACGGAAAAGTTTTTCCGTTACAAGTATTTGCGCAAAATCATGCCAGTCTAGACACAGCCCTTGTGTCCAGTGACACATGTCTCTGATCTTGTGACTTTAAATAAGACATCGGAACGGTAGCATCCCCTACAAGTGTTGTTCATATTTTGGCCTTGTTGTTCTGCGTCCTTACACAATAGTGCAAGTGCCACAGAAACTCAGATTGAAAATAAGGGGTGAATTTTTCACGGTGAGAGCCCTTAACCATTGGAACAAGGGTGAGGCTGGATTCACCAGCTTCTGTTGGTGGGAGACACTTTTGACCTTACCCAGAGCTTGAAGACGAGATGTCTCTCTACTCTCTAAACCTGCCTTAGCACAAGGGGGTGCATTAGAAGACCTTGGCGGCTCCCTTCAACTCCACCTGTCTGTGGTTGTTTGCAGTGTTTTTGTAGCTGTCTCAGAGTATGTCTACACTACAGAATTGTGTCGGGAAAATGGCCGCTTTTCCGACAAAACCCAAGTTACGTCCACACTGCAATCACGTTCTCCCGAAGTAAATTGAAAGAACAGAGTTTTTTCCGGTGTTGCTAATCCTCTTTCTATGAGGAAGAGGACTTTTTCCAAAAGAGCTCTTTTGGAAAAAGTCCTCTTCCTCATAGAAAGAGGATTAGCAACACCGGAAAAAACTCTGTTCTTTCAATTTACTTCGGGAGAACGTGATTGCAGTGTGGACGTAACTTGGGTTTTGTCGGAAAAACGGCCATTTTCCCGACACAATTCTGTAGTGTAGACATACTCTGAGACAGCTACAAAAACACTGCAAACAACCACAGACAGGTGGAGTTGAAGGGAGCCGCCAAGGTCTTCTAATGCACCCCCTTGTGCTAAGGCAGGTTTAGAGAGTAAGTTATCAGGGATTGGGGCCTCGTGCGGCACAGACACATCTAATGAAATGACGGGCCACAAGCCTTTTGCAAGCGACCAAGAAAAGCAGCATCGCCAGGAGCCCTGGGCTAATGGAGGCGGATTCCAGGCACCTTTGGACAAGGTGCAGGTGAGACAACTTACGTCGTCAGCGTCCGCTGCCTGGCAACGTACGGTGTAAAGCACGGAGTAGTCTTTGCACTTTGCATGGGGCAGGCAGTTAGCAATAACACGTCTGTCCTGTATCCGCCTTTGGGGCTAGACTGAGGGACTGTGAGGTCACGGGTATGGGATCCATGTTCCATCTCCAGTTCATGGTGTTCCTCCCTGCTCGGCGTGAGGGTGGCCCGGCCTCCCCTCCCACAGAGGCTCAAAAGCGTAACCTCTCCTCCCTTCCTCCCCCTCCCCGCCCAGGACTTACTCCAGGAGTAGCTGAATATGGAGCTGAGCCTGGCCTGCTACACACTTCTCCTCCTGCGGCACCCGGGGTCACAGGCAAAGTGGGGCCCCACAGCCGTGGGCAGAGCTGGTCTTAGGGGCAGGCGAGCCGGGTGGTCGCCTGGGGCTTCCATTTTCAAGGGGCTGCCGACAGAGCTGGTCTTAGGGGTGGGCCGTGACAACGTTTCGGCCCAACCTCCCGAATCCTTTGCTTGACGAATTTTTGTCCAGTATTTTTTTGTTAAGCCATCTGGCAACTCTACGGGCGAACCGAGCAGTTGCCCGGGGCTGCCAATCGGTTAGGACCGGCCCTGGCTGTGGGTCATGGAGTTAACTCCCCACAGAGCTTCCCGGGGCAGTAGCTCTTCAGAGCAGTTGGTTTCAGGCTCTCTGCAGACTCCGCACAGGTGGCGCTCACAGCACATTTTCAAGCTTTCCGCTGCCGCTGTGAGGGCTTAGACGCTGACTCTCCCGGCCGGCGGGGCGGCGAGGGGCTAGCCATGAGCCTGTAATGTTTACGCCTTCATTTGGCCTTCTCCATCTTGGGTACTGATTCTGTCCTTAACTGAAGGATGCAGCTGGCTTTTCCCTTGCTTCCCTTGGGCCTCCAGGGTTGGCGGCAGGAGGATGACGAAGGCCGTCCGGGACTTCCTCTACGCCCAGAAAGTGCAGCCCCCCGTGGAGCTCTATGTCGACTGGCTGTGTGTGGGTCACGTGGATGAATTCCTGAGCTTTGTCCCAGCCCTGGGCCGACAGGTATGGCACGCTGGCCAGTGCTCCCTGGAAGCTGAGTGCGTCGTCCTGCAGACTGCCCACCACAAGGGTGGTGCACATAGAAAAGATTATTCTGCACATGGAGGGGGAAGATGACAGGGAACCTTGCCACGTGCTGGGTGGGACGTCCCAGGGCAGAGGGGCACCCCACACTGGGTGGGACCTCTCAGGCCAGCTGTCCTTTCCCTTCCATGAGACC